GTCATTTGGTTACAATTTAATGCATCATTAGTAAAAAGAATAACATTAATATGGATAAAAATAAGAATAGCAATATTAATAATTATAATAATATTAATAATAGTATTTGGGTTAAGGAGAAACCCCTCACTTTGCTTAATTTCCCCTCCACATCTTTCTTATCCAAATAGAGGAGCTTCTCTTCCTCCAGTCTCCCTGAAAGAAAAAAAAAAAAAAAAACATTACATTATCTCTTACTCAGCCAATGAAATGAAGAACATCATTCATCAGTATTCAAAACATGATGATTTTATTCCATAATTTTAACTCCATATTAACTTAGAGTAATAGTTAATAGAGATTTAGGAATGGTAGTAAGGCAACACGCGATGAAACATCACTCCCCTTCTTGGTGGTGATTTTTTATAGGTGAACAAAAAATCTCCCTTCCTCTCAATTGACAATAATTTATAAAATTTGACTATAAGATTTGTTCTTTACATGATTAAATGACATCTCTGTTGAGTACTTAAGGTATCACGGAATTATATTGCTATTTGTTAAAATATGGGCTTAACTGACAATCCTATGTAGAAATAATTGTTCTACTTGTAAGAGTGCATTAAATGAGGTCCCATGGCAGGAAAGCAAAAGTGGCAGAATACTCAAATCCACCCCCAAATTATAGTAGTAGGGACGAATCTACTTCCAAACAAAAAATAGAGACAAATCTACCCACAAAGTTTTTAATTTAGACAAATCAATCCAAATTTAACGTGTGACATCATCTGATGTTAACAAACTGTTAACAATGAACTTATTAGCAACATAACAAATTAATAGATTGCTAACATCGAATGATATTACACGTTAAATTTGAGGTGATTTGTCCAAATCCTAAACTTTGTTAATGAATTTGTCTCCATTTTTTGTTTGGAGATAGAACCATCCCTGTCACTATATTTTAGAGGTGGATTTGGATATTTTGCTAGCAAAAGTTGCCACGTTCAAATTGTATATTCGGAGAGGTGGCAAATGGATGAACTAGAACATATGAGTTTAATTTATTTTTTTTTCAACCGTCTCCTGTACAACGAGATTAACTCTCTCTTATGTGCTAACTCTCACCACATGCATGGGAGGGCGTTATTTACATTGTGTATCTCTTATTTGTACGGCAAGGATATTACCAATTAGCTACATATGCCATTCGTAAGAGGTATGAATTTGCTAACAAATCAATTTATCTTTTTTACAAATATTGCAATGTAATGATTTGATAAATCTGTCACTCTCGATCCTTCAAACCAAACACACCCATACGAGAGATTTTGAAATCCTAACATAAAAAATTCTTTTTCTGTAAAAGTTCAATTTATTGAATAATTGGAACTCATCTTTGAACTAAAATACGAGCAGTGGTGCTGGCAGTCGCCTCCTGCACTCTAGGGCTAATACTTACGCTTTCATTGGCCCACGTAACCTTATTTTAGGGCTTTGTAATGGAACTTCTTAAAACCAAGGTAGCGTCGGCCAAAAAAAGTGGAAGTGTTAGCCGCAGCGTGCAGGAGAAAGAGAGGCAACTTATATTGCCACCCAAACAAATTTGTACTTTTAAATTGATCAGCAATATATTAAATATTTACTGCCAATCCAGATTTTAAATCTTTTAACTTTCAATCATAAATTTGTAGTTAAATCAACCTCATAAATTCTTATTATTTAATTCCATAATTTTGAAATCCAAAACTCTAAAAACTTACAAGTACATTGTAAATTCTACAACTGTGAAGTCTAAATTTGTAAAAACATTTTGTTCAATCATAAATGATTTGAAACATAAGTTATCCTATCTAAAGTCTACTAAAATATTGGTTACAAATAATAAATGTTTAATTTGAAAATAAAATGTGAACAAAATTTCAGAACTTTTGGTTCCATTTTTTTATTTAAATATTTTAATTTATACTTTCCTCATATAATGCTACGCAAATTGTCGGTTTCTTGTAACAATTTTTGATTTAGATATATATCTCTAAAATCAATTTATAAACCAGTAGCTATAATGTAGTACTTATGATTAGTCATGAATTAGTAAAACAAATAGGAAATGCAAGCGTTGCACGACATGTGAAATCCCAGCAGCTACCCCAAGCCAATTCCTTAGATATAAAACTCATTCTATTCCGTTATAAAAACGTGAATGAAGTTTTCAATATATATGTATAATCTGTTATGCAAAATAAAACAAAAATCAACTGCAATCTTGCAAATAAAGTGCAGAAAAATAAAAAGAAAGGGAAGAGAATATCAAGTCGTGATTTATAGTGGTTCCTCCAACCCGGAGTACGTCCACTCCCCAAGCCTCCTTGCTCGAGAGTTCAATCCACTAGAAATCTCTTGCTTACGGGTGCAAGATTAAACCGAAACAACCTCTTGCTTGCGAGTGCAAGATTAAACCCTCACAAGTGAATCTCAACTCACTCAACCCCTTCAAGGATTAACCCAATCCAAGAAGAATACAAAAAACCTTGTAAGACAATATACCCAAAAGCTTACAAGAAGAAGAAAAAGGAAACCCAGAACTGTTTCAAACTCTTGTTACTATAGCAGTTCGTCCCTCTTC